GCACGCGGGCCTTGCGGAAGCTCCGGTGCAGCCCGCACAGCGTCGCATGGCTGTCCCCGAGCTCGGCGTCGTCCCGGAGCTGCGGTGGCAGGGAGACGGCCCAGGCCTCCGCCCTCGCCTGGGAGAGAAAAGGACAGCACGGCGCACAGCTACCCCACACAATAGAAAATCGTGCTAATCATCGCCCCCGCAGTTACGGGTAAGAGGTGGCGGCGGGGTCGGCAACTGGGAGCCGGCTGTAAACCGTCAACCAGGTTACCGCCGGCAGCCTCGTAGAGCTCTTTGATCGCGCGGCGCTGCTTCGAACACATGGAAGAAGGTTCTCAAGGTGATCTGAGAAACTCGAAAAATTATGATTTTTAGTTTTTTCCAAAACCGGTTCCCTCAAGTGTTTTGATAGTAATATTGAAGCTGCGGACCTGAGAATTGGACTGGCAGACGCGGCATAACCCACTACACGTGAGAAAAATACCGGCTCTTAAAACGAATTTTCAAATTTTACACAAAGATACAAAAACCGACCCCAAGTTCCCACATTGTCTGTTTTGGTCGGGTCTGCCAACTAGCTCCACCCTGCGCCCGAATTCCTCTTAGCTCATCTTGCCGAAGAGCTCTACGAGGTATTTACGAAACTCTGAACAAGACCGCCGCAGGCGCCGATTTGGCACACGTTTCACAACGAGCTTTTTTTTTCTCTTCATTCAACGCAACGAATACTGTACACAATTTCGACTCTGGCGCTCAGAAGCACTGGGCGAATTTTTGGCGCCCCGGGGACATACATACGGTTTGGTCGGTCACACCGGTTCAAGCTCCATGTACGACCACGTAAACTTAAAAGCAACATAAGTACGAATGGCAGGAGGAAGCGGAGGACGAACGGGCAGGAGAAGAAGAAGCCAATGATACGAATTCCCGTGGAGACGTATCGGTCCCGCGGCCGCACGGACATTGCGTTGTACCCCTTATACGGTGGCCCAAACGGCCATGCAAATAAATCTAACACAATGCAGTAAGGAGGGTGAAGAGGAGGGGGCGGAGGAGGAGGACGAGGAGGAAGAGGGAGAACACGCCCTGACAAAAATTCGCGCGTGCGTAAGCCGACCCAGGTAGACGGCACCCGCACAATTACCCTCGCGAGCACGAGCGAAACAAAGGGGGAGGAAGGAGGGGAGGACGGGGAGGAGCAGGACAAGGCGAGCAGGGAAGACACAGTCCAGGAACTTGCGTTGGTTGCTGCAGGGTGTGCGTGGCAATGCCGGCCCGAACCCTGCCGAGCAGGGGCGGGACCAACAGGGCGCGAACACCTGTGTGTTGGGCGGCCTGAAAAAAAAACTACGGAAGGAGGGCAAAGCTGGGAGCAGAGAAGAAAAAAGGGGAAGGCGAAGAGCGCTGGCCGCCCATGAACCTCTTCGCCAGGCCCTCGCGGCATGCATAAGGCTGTTCAGATGGAGATGTAGACGCAGTGCCTTTTGCGGTGGTGTTCCAGATCACGACCTGGGAGGTGGGAAAGCTCGCCTGTCGTTGTTCCGGTCGTGTGGCGAGTACGCCGGGGTTGGAGCTGGAGTCGATGCCAGCAGGATCGTCGTGGCAATCTAAACGGTCGCCTCCCTAGACGTGCTTGATATCCGAATCAGAAACCCGTGTCGTGATTGGGGTAGGAGCGGAATTGGTAGCCGGAACAGAAGTCGGATATGGGGTTGGAGATGTAATGGGCGGCGGCAGTGGGGTCGGAGCTGGTGACAGAAGCGGTGCTGGCGTCGGAATTGGTGTCGGAGCAGGTGTTGGCAAAGCGGGCGAAACGGGTACTTCAGCTGGAGTCGGAGCCGCCGTGGTTGTGAGTGACGGCAGTGTCGGAGCTGGAGTCGGAGCCGGCGTCGGGGGTGGAGTCGGAACATGAGTGGGAGCCGGCGTAGGCGCCACGTTGGTGCTGGCGTCGGTGCTGGCGTCGACGCAGGTGTAGGCGCTGGCGTTGGTGCTGGCGTAGGTGCTGGCGTCGGTGCTGGCGTCGGTGCTGGCGTCAGCGCTAGCGTAGGCGCCAGTGTTCATGCAGGCGTCGGTAGTGGCGTCGGTGCTGGTGTAGGCGCTGGCGTTGGTGCCGGCGTAGACGCCGGCGTTGGTGCTGGCATTGGTGCCGACGTCGGCGCTGGCGTGGGCGACAGCGTTGGTGCCGGCAGAGGCGCAGGCGTTGATGCTGGCGTCGGCGATGGCGTCGGTGCTGGCGTAGGCGACCGCTATGGTGGTGGAGTCGGTGCTGGCATCGGTGCTGGAGTAGGCGCTGGCGTTGGTGCCAACGTAGGCGCCGGCGTTAGTGCTGGCGACGGTGCTGGCGTCGGCGCTCGTGGAAGCGCTTGCGTTGGTGCCGGCGTAGGCTCCGTCGTTCATGCTGGCGTCTGTGCTGGCGTCGGCGCTGGCGTAGGCGCCGGCGTAGGTGCGGGCGTCATTGCTAGCCTCGGTGCTGGTGTAGGTGCTGGCGTTGGAGCTGGCACAGGCGCAAGCGTTTGTGCTTGCGTCAGTGTTGGCGTCGGTGCTGGTGCAGGCACAGGCGTTGGAGCCGGCGTAGGCGCAATCGTTGAATCTGGCGTCGGTGATGGCGTCGAATTTTCGCAAGAGCAATGAGGGTGCGTCGCGGGTGGCTTGCGGGCGAGAACGACAACCACTAACCAGGAACCAACAAAAACAGCAGCATAGGCAGCAGCAGCAGCAGCAAACACAACACCATCACCAACAACACCATCACCACCAGCAACAACGACAACAACCTCAACACCCACAACAACAATAACCACAACAGCAACAACCACAACCATAACAACAACAATAATAACAACAACAACAACAACAATAACAACAACAGCAGCAGCAGCACCAACAACAAGAACAGCAGCAGCAACATCAGCAACAACGACCATTTTCACACTGGTCGCTCCGATCTGCTCGCGTACCATCAGACACGTATACCCCAAACCCTCGGTACCCGCCTTGTTGTTTTCGATCGTACCTCCTCGGGGAGATATATTCTTGCCACGTGTGTTTAGCACAGCCCCTAAGGCAGGGGAAGAGATGACGAATGTAATGGGGAGGGAAACAAATCGAGGACAAGAGTGCAGAGAACACGTGGCAAAACCACACGGGGAGGTCGGGAGAGTCGACCCTAATGGGCCGGTCGGGAAGGCGGGCCCAGGCGGCCAGGTCGAGCAGGCGAGTTGCTGAAGCGTGAGTCCTGCGTGAATGGCGAGGATGTCTCAAGCGATAGCGCAATTTTCAAGTAAATCGTGGGACCGTCCAGAACGAGGGCGTGATTCCTGAGTGTCGAAGGCGCGGCGTCTGAATAAATTGTGAGAAAGTGCAACGCAAGAGCGTGATACCTGCATAAATCGTGAGAAACTTCAGCGGTAGAAAACGAATTTTCATACAAATAGAATTGCGAAGGGGGTATCAGGTGGGAACCGCTGCTATTGTAAACCGGGGGTCTCAACAACACGAATTGAGGGCCAATGTTTCCCCTCGCAAAGAAAAACAGTGTCCGAGCCCCGGGAGGAGCGCTTTTACTGACAAGTAATGTGCACCGGGCATGGATGATAAACAATGATCGTTTCACAACATAGAATTCAATCATTTGAAGCTGTTCGCTCTTATCTGCTCACGTGCCATTCAACACTGTATCCAAACTCTCGATAAGCGCACTCTTCGACTTTGATTGAAGTCTCCTTGAGAGTATATCGTCCCTACCTGCCGCGTGTAGTTGGTGCAGCCGCTCAACCAGACAAGGAAGGGACAAGGGGAAGGGAGAAGGATGGGGCACGAGGGAGATTTGCAGGAGAAGGCTTCTGAGCAGAAAAACAAACGGCAGAACCAAACGGGCGGTACGGACCCCAACGGGCAGGTCGGGCAGGCGGGCCCAGACGGTCGGGTCGAGCGGACAGGTCGCTGAAGCGTCAGTCCAACATGAATCGCAACAAAGTTTAGAGCGATACCGCGATTCCCAAATAACTCGTAAGGACATCCAAGCGTGAGCGTGATTCCTGGGGGTTGCGGGGGGAACGGCGCGAGAGCGCGATTTCTGTATACGTCATATACGGAAGTTCCGCACGAGAATGCAAGTTTGAAACCTACTGTGAGGATGCATCAGGCAGGAACCATTATTGTTGTTGTTGTTGTTGTAGTCCGGGGTCCGACAACGCATTATGAGTCCCAAGACTTCCCCCTCGTTAAAATAAACCAGCTTCGAGATCCCAGAGGGACACTTTATTCAAAAACACCATGGGCACGACGGGGGGATCAACGATACTCATTCTTTAGAGACGAAAGAACCTACAACAACAGCAGCAACAGCAACAGCAACATCATCAATACCAATCATTTTGAAACTGTTTTTTCTTGTCGGCTCGCAAGCCATTCACCACGTATAACCCAAACCCTAGATACCCGCCCTCTTCGCCTTCGATCGTACCCCCTTAGAGGTATATCTTCTTTACCTACCATCTGCATTTAGCACAGCCCCTAAGGCAAGGGAAGATAGGACAAATATAAGGGGGAGGGAAACAAATCGAGGACAAAAGAACAGAGAACACGTGGCAAAACCACACGGGCAGGTCGGGAGAGTAGACCCTAATGGGCCGGTCGGGAAGGCGGGCCCAGGCGGCCAGGTCGAGCAGGCGAGTTGCTGAAGCGTGAGTCCTGCGTGAATGGCGAGAAGGTCTCAAGCGATAGCGCAACTTTCAAGGAAATCGTGGGACCGTCCAGAACGAGAGCGTGATTCCTGAGTGTCGAAGGCGCGGCGTCTGAATAAATTGTGAGAAAGTGCAACGCGAGAGCGTGATACCTGCATAAATCGTGAGAAACTTCAGCGGTAGAAAACGAATGTTTAAATAGAATTGTGAAGGGGGTATCAGGTGGGAGCCGCTGCTATTGTAAACCGGGGGTCTCAACAACACGAATTGAGGACCAATGTTTCCCCTCGCAAAGAAAAACAGTGTCCGAGCCCCGGGAGGAGCGCTTTCACTGACAAGCAATGTGCACCGGGCATGGATGATAAACAATGATCGTTTCACAACGTAGAATTCAATCATTTGAAGCTGTTCGCTCTTATCTGCTCACGTGCCATTCAACACTGCATCCCAAACTCTCGATAAGCGCGCTCTTCGACTTTGATTGAAGTCTCCTTAAGAGTATATCGTCCCTACCTGCCGCGTGTAGTTGGTGCAGCCGCTCAACCAGACAAGGAAGGGACAAGGGGAAGAGAGAAGGATGGGGCACGAGGGAGATTTGCAGGAGAAGGCTTCTAAGCAGAAAAACAAACGGCAGAACCAAACGGGCGGGCGGACCCCAACGGGCAGGTCGGGCAGGCGGGCCCAGACGGTCGGGTCGATCGGACAGGTCGCTGAAGCGTCAGCCCTGCCCACGCCTTGCTTCTAGGTGTCACCACGCCCCATCGGGGGACAGCCGCAGACCCCCCTGGGAACGCCGAAACGCCTGAGCGTGAGCCTCAGGGCCTCTGGGAATATTGAATGAAAGCGGAGGCTGTATCGAGCGAGAGCGTCATTGTTTGTAGGGGGGGCCGTCTGCGGTGCCGGGGAAGGATCGCCGGTCCTGGGTGAAAAACACTGAAATACAAGGCGGGAGCGCTGGTTTTGTTGGCAAGCCCGCTTTCGGCGGCGAGCAAGGGCACCAGTTCTGAGTAAACAGGGAGGGGGTATCGAAATGGAGCGCTGTTGTTCGTTCGGGTGCCCATTCTGGCGCAACCCGAAACACCTGAGCGTGAGCCTAATTTTCAAAGGAAATGCAGCCGGCGCCGAGGCGAGAGCGCCAGGGCGGATATAGGGTACCCAACAATAACAACTTTGAAACATAAGGAAGGTCATACAGGAACTGCGGAAGCCCCATGGCCTCTGGGAGTCTCGAATACAAGCGGAGGAAGTATGAAGCGGGAGCGTGGTTGTTTGCAGAGACTTGCCATCGCTCGGACGTCCGTTTCCCGTGCATTGTTCGGTTTCGCGCGTGTTTTTTTTTGCTCGATGGTCCAGGATGCTCCTCCAGGGTCCTCGCCAAGAAAAAATGCACACGTCCGAGCGATGCCAAGGAGAGGGACGCTTGCGGCGCCGAGGCAGGAGCGCAGGTCCGGAGGACAAAGCACGGACATATATCGAGCGGGAGTGCCGGCTTTGTTGGAACGCTGGCTTTCGGCGGCGCGCAAGAGCCCCCACTCCGAGTAGAAAGGAGTATCGAACGGAAGTGTTGTTGTTTGGGGGGCGCTTCGGCGGTCACCGAAACGCCTGAGCGTGAGCCTCGTTTCAAAGGAAGTGCAGCCGGCGCCGAGGCGAGATCGCCAGGGCGGATGTAGGGCGTCCACCAATAAAAAACTGTTTAATAGCCATGGCCCAACAGCGACAGCAATCATCCTCACCGCGGAATCCCCCTTTATGCACGCACCCATGTATGGTGTGAGATGTAAGGCCGTTCGGCCCCCCCACTCTGATAAAACATGTTGGGGCACAGAGTTCGTTGATCTCTGATGTCCCCAAAGCGCCCCAGAGCTTCTCTGGGTCCCGGGGGTAATCGGGGGGGGATGAGCCTCTTCCGAGGGGCACCTGTTGGCAGGCCAATTCTGAAGCGCCTATTGTAAATGCACAATACGAACTCTCGGGGTCCCACGCAAACTTCTTTTTTGGTTCTGCGCCGGACCCCTTCACTGGCGCGCGGAGCGCACCAGGGGCGGCGCCGGGGGTCGCCGCCAAGGCGGGCCCTGCGAAGACCCAGAAGGATTATCGCGCGGACCCCCTCGAAACCCAACAGTTCAGGGCAGGAACGTGGGGCTCCACCACCGAGAACCCATCGGATGGAGACCGAGTCCTGGGCGGTGGCACGCCTGAGCGTCGTGATGTGCTGGGTGACGCTCGGGCGTGCCGCCCAGGGGTCGACCCCCTACCAATGGATTATTGGTGGCGGTGGTCCATGTCTCACCTATGAGCAACCCCCGGCATCCTGTCTTTTCGCGACGCGGACCCGGTGAGGTCTCGACACGTTCCCCGGCACCGGCTTTTTCAAACCCGGCTCGTTTTCGGTGGCCCTGGGGCCATGGCGGGGGTCCACTGAGGCAGAAACTTGCAAAGCAATTGCTCTTGGGATCTTCATGACGAAAAAGGTCTGGCAAGCTTGCGGTCGGTCGGGAACTTGTGCTTAGCGTGTCACGGCGGCGGCCCCGGCGACACGCTATGCCCTACGAACTGATGGCGTGTGGCTCCGCATCGTAGGACGGGAGGCCAGGAAAGGTTCGGGGCCCAAACTCCTGACCGTACTACAATGAGAACGTGCAAGAAGGATGGGTGGTAAGGACGCAAGACCCTTGGAGGCCGAAGTTGGGATTTGGTGGGCGGCGGGCGACCAAACTCCAAGGGTACCCGGAGAGGCCGGCCAGTGGAAACGGCACAGGACGGGCCGCAGAGGCAAGGACACAGAGGGCACCCTGGAGAAGGCGCGCGTCCTTGCTGTGCGCGTTGACTCACTGCCTTCGCCGTTCTGTGCTTCTCCGGATCGCCGCGGCCGCTCTCCACTCGCCGACGGCAAGGGCCACGTCGGTCTCCGAGGCGGCGAGGGCGTCGCCGGCCCGCCCGGTGGAAGGGCGACCCCCCTGGTTGGAGGACGCCAACCCTACGGTCGGAGCTGGGACAGAACGGCATCCTTCAAGAGCATGAGACCCTCCGCTGGCCAAACCAACCCAAACCAGAAGACCACTCGAGCGCGTCCTCCCCCAGGGTGCACTGGAACATCCCGCAGACACGAAGAACACGAGGACACCCTCCCCGAACAGACCTCGACCTTCCGCCTCTGTCCAGCCGTGTGCGCCCTCCTGGCCCGGCGAGGGAGGCAGGTGCACCAATCCAGGGCCCAGGATCCCGAGACTGGTTGGCGGCGCGCACACGGGGGTAGGGGGAGGGGGGAAGGCTTCTTAGAAGGAGGCTGCTTCTTAGAAGGCGCCGGCCTTACATCTACAAAGAAGGCCCGCGCCTTCTAAGAAGGCCCCCTCCCCCTACCCCCTTCTGCTCGTGGCCAGACTGGCCTGGCCAAGATAGCCGGGTGCAGCTACACTGGGATCTGACACCACAGACAACCTGCCGCACCGAAACGAAAGCTCGACCGCAGAGCCCTGGGATCCCGCCTGCCTGCGGCACTCTTCGGGCCGGGTCGATCCGCGAGGGCCCCGGGGCCAAAGAGACGGGGCAGACTCGCCCGCCGTGAGAAATGGCGACGCCACGATCTCGGGGGGAGCTCGTTTACTACAGGGTCGCGCCGCGTTGACGCGGCAGCGACTCGAGCACGAACGTTCGGGCGTTCAGGGTTGAACACCGCCTGTGGCCCAGAATCGGCCGATGTCGAACGGTCCGCGCTGGCGGGAAGACACGACCGCTCCAGGCTGAACGATCCACGCGGTGTCAGAGATCAGCCCGACGTGAGGATCTCGGGATAGGTGTATGATTGACGCCCTCCGACATGGTTGGTCTGCAGGGTCGAGAGGCGGATCTGCAGCCGGGCGACCTCGGCGGATTGCGCGGCCTGCCGCTCCTTCAGCTCACCCCGCTCGCCGGACAGCTTGCGCACGGCCACCTCCGGAGGGAAAGCACGAGACATTGACTCCCTCACGTCAGGGAACGATCACAACAGAGGGCTTCTGTTCCGTGCTAGCGCTTTGCTGGAGGGTTCTTCTGAAGGCAAATCAAAAACACAGGAGAGTCCCACAGAGGGGACGGGGCTCGAGTACGTTTGGTCCGGCAACCAATGCGGCAACAATTTCGCCTGAGATTGCCTCACAACTTATTCCAGAATCGTGCGTGCTCTCGACTGAATACCACATATATAGATGTAAGGTCCTGACGGTCACGATCCCTGGTAACAAATACACTACGGTGCAAATGGCCGTGCTCCAGCACATGAACAAAGTATTCGGACCCTCGCACTTGAGGGAGATGCGCATCACCCCCCGCCCCGAAATCAATGTTGATTTGGCATGGGTGATGGTTTGGGGCTCGAGTACTTGTGTCCACACAAGCCCCCTCGGTTGCCGCACCCTCAATATGAATTTGGGGGATCCTCGGGGGCATCTTGCGCCGCAAGGTTCGAACATATTGTCCATGTACGGTCTCTCGCCCCTGTCATACGGCCATGATCCCTAGCAAAATAACGCGCTACTGTGCGCATGGATGTGCCCTCACCCTTATAAGAACACAACGGTGCCAATGGCCGTGACGTGCTCGCACATTGTCGAACGGCGACGATCCCTTCTAAAGAAAAGTGCTCTGCAGGGCACATGGCCGTGCTCTCATCCCTGCCACACGGCCACGACCCTCTTGCACAAAAAACTCTGGTGCACGTGGCCGTGCTCCCGCCCCTGTCACATGGACACGACTCCTCGTACGGTGCACATGGCCGCGCTCGCATCCCTGCTGCACGGCCATGATCCCTGCTTCAGCAAGAGATAACGGAGACCATGGCCGTGCCCTCACCCCTGTCACACGGCCACGATCCATCGTAAAAAAATACACAGCGGTGCATACGGCCGTGCTCTCACCTCTGTCACGCCTAGAACACATAGGAAAACGTAGGAACGGACGTGTTCACCAGCCGACCACCTACTTCTCGACACGCCTCTTCACCTTTGCTGCTATGAGGTTGCTTTGCTCGGGTGATTGCCACGTTGAGCCTCATGGGGACCCTCGCAGGGCCCCGGGACCTTTCAAGAACGAGTCGGGATGAGAAACCGCCCCTGGAAGAAGGGGCGGGATTTTCGGGGACCCCGTGATGAATATATCATCATCAATGCATCGGATCTATGGCGACCACAATCTGAGCGTGTCGATTTTGGTCATCGTCCATCTCGGCCATCGTCGATTCGTGGACCACACTCGCGAATCGGCGACGGCTGGCGCGGGCCATGGCCAAGATCGGCGTCGACAAAATCCCGCGACATCTTGGTCATGGCCACCGTGTTTCTTCCCTTGGGCCTCCAGCTTGCGCTCCCGCTCCTCCTCCTGCTCGAGCTCGTCCCTTAGAAGGGCCTCCAGCTCCTGGCGAGAGGCGGCCTCGATCGCCTGCTGCTCCTGCAGCTCCTTGTGCCCCTCCAACACCCTCTCCTTCTCCGCGGCGACCTTGGACAACTCACTGCTCTTCTCCTCGATGGCCTCGATCCGCGTCTCGATGACGCGGTACGGGTTGCTGCCTTTGACCATGTTGTTGTGCGTCTCCTGCTGCTTCTTTTCCAGGTCTGCGACCTGCTTTCGCAGCCTCAGGGTCTCGAACCGGCGATTATCGCAGAACGTCTGCAGGGCCTGCTGGTGCCACTGCTTCTGAAGGTCTGGTGCCAGCAGCGTCGGGTCGTCCAGCTCCTTCAGGTAGTCCCTGAGCTCCTCGAGCTGGATGTTCATCTCCTCCAGCTGCAGCTCCAAGAGCTCTCGCTGCTTCTCTTCCACCTCGAGCTTCGCCCGCAGAGTGGTGATGGAGGGGTTCTGACTGGTCTGACTCTTCGGCTTGAGCGACCTCCGCAGCGATGCCGTCCGCTCGAGCTCGTTGGCCTGCTTCTCCAGCTCCCTGCGCTGGCGCTCGAGGTCGGAGAGTTCTTCCTGAGTGGAGGCCACAAATCGAGGACAGGATCGACTACAAAATAGATGTACCAACTTGTTTTGTCCGTCAAGTCTTTCAAACACACGAAGAATGCTCCATTGATTTACGGAGATTTCTTGTAGATTCGACCAGCAAATGGGACAAACTGGGAAACAATACGGATTCAGGCGGAAACGTGGCACGACCGACCCCGTTCATGCAGCGCGCAGACATATTGAGCTAGCGCGCCACACGCGGGTGCAAAGTTGCATCATTGGCTTTAGATTGGGACAGAGCGCTCGATTCGATAAACGTGGACGCCCTCCTCGATGCACTCACGACTTTCGGCGTGCCGCTGCACTTGCTGCAACTCATTGGCAACATATACGGTTCTCGCCGTTTCTGCGTCGCAGATGGGAGCCGGAGGTCAAGAGACAGGGAGCAGAAATCCGGGATTTCACAAAGAGATGCCCAATGTCACCGTTTTATTCGTAATGGTATGTCGGTACTGGTCATAGACGTGGAAAGGAATCTGGACACCGATATTCGACGTTCAATGGATTGTGGGGATATCTGAATTTTTACATGCAGACGTTACAGTGCTGGTTGGACGCAACGGACATCGTTTACAGCTTCTTAACGCAATTGCCGGGGCAGGCGCAAGGAATGGAGCTGCACTGGGATAAATTTCAACTGCTCCAATTCAAATATAAAATGGTTATCACAAACCCCGCTGGGAAAATCATCACGCCTACGCCGGAAACGCAATATTCTGGGGCCACTCTTTACCACAGTAGGGACATCAAACCAGAGCTGGGGCAGAGATTGGGCGCAGCATGGGGGGAGTTTCAAAGATATGCGCATGCGTGGAAATTTTACAGCGGTGAGCAAAAAACGCAAGCTGGAAGTGCTCTCTGCTTTCATCACAAGCAAAGTACTGGATTCGATAAACTCGGCGTGGCTTCACAAAGCAGGGAGGAGAAGGATAGATGGAATCCAAGCCCGTTGCTTGAGGCTTAGTTTGGGCATTGCTAGCGTATCGAACAAAGGTGTTCTTGAACAATATGGTCAAACATCTTACTCGTCACAGCTACTACGACAGCAATTGCTACCGTTTGGAAAGAATTGCCGATCACATGACACGTATGCTTTGCGACAACTCACCAAGCAAGCAGCCACCGATCGGCAGCCGACGCATGTAAACGACAAGTCGGGAGTCCTAGACATGACTAACGCTTGCACGAGGCCGCGCAGGAGCAAGTAAAGTGGCGAGAGCTCTGTACTGAGTTCGCTTTCGGCACTGCCGAGGACGATTTGCTCCGGTGATTCCTTCTTCCTGCCGTCCTCTTCATTGACATGTGCACTTTTCCCGCCCACGCGCCAAACGGCGTATGGCTTCTCGACTCGACTCCATGTTGGGGTAAATGAATTCTCTAGTCGACCCCCTACTCGACCAAAAAGGGCGCGAGAGGGAGACCCAAGATCGCAAAGTGTCCCGTCCCCCACCAGCTTGCAGGCAGACGGGCGAAAACAGCACGGTCGGGAATTGGTGTTTAGCGTGTCGCGGCGGCTGCCCAGGCGACACGCTATGCCCTGCGAGAGGATAGCGTGTCGCTCCTCTCCGCGGGGCGGGGGCACAGAAAAAATCTCGGGACGTCGACGCCTGGGGACAGGGACGCGCCCAGACACCCGGCCGCTGCCATTTTTCCGATGAGCGGGCCCCCGAGGTTTGGACCACTTCCCTGGGGCCGATTTGTCGTCTGGAGGCTGAAAACAGCCCAAAGCGGGTCGTTCAATTTCTATCGGAGCGCGGGATCTCTGCCTATCTACCAGGCCACCCCAACCTGACCCGAAGACCCACATTTCGGGCTGGGGGGGTAGGGATTCCACATGTGATTCTTCCAGAATGTTCCCCGACGCCCCCCCCCCCACTGGGCATGAGGACACATTGGGGCCTTCGGGTTGGGCCGGGGTGGATTCCTGGGGTGAACCGCTGGGCGGTCGGCTCGTCGCCCTGGAGCGTGGGCGGGCCAGAACCCGGAGGCGTGGCACACCTCTGGACCGTACGTGCACCTGCGCCGATCCTGGCCGGGCCTGTCCCTCCTATACCGATCCTGCACATCCACTTCGGCACCGCCTGTTCCCCGGGCCCCGCCCGCTCCGGCCCCCTGAGGCCCGCCTTCCTGTGCCCTGTCTCCCTAATTAAAGCTGTGCGTAGCCCGCCTAGCTTTTAGCGGAAGAGGTTCGCTCTCGCCCCGCAGATCAAAAAAGTCCTTCCTATACCTATCGGCGGTGGACAAGCCTCCCTTTAGTAAACCACCCTTTAGTGAAAACGGCCTGGAACCAACATCGACGAGCCTGGACCCGCAAAAATGACGCCATCTCGCGAAACAAAAACGGCCAATTCACTAATCGACCGACGTGTCAGGGTAGGAGGTCTATCAGTCTCCGAACCTATACCTATACCTAAAAACCTATACCTATACGTATACCTATGCTCCTACAGTCGGACCTGGGCCATAATCACATCCCTCAAGAACATGAGACCCTCCGTCGGCCAAAACAAAAAGAACATCCAAGGGTACCTTCCCCAAGGCGCACAAAATCATCCGCACGAGGTACCCTCCCCGAACCGACCTCGATCTCATACCTCGGTCCGACTGTAGTCCTGACCTCCATCGAGACCTACAGCCAGAAAGATGAACAAGAGAACTATGATTTAAGACATCTGGGCCAACTTCCTGAAAGTTTCTTGAAGCAAGCCCCGGCAAATTGATGTTGCTGACGCTGGAGGGGCGAACGTGCTCAAGGAACTGGGCCAGCTTTCCAGCAAGTTGGTTGAGACACGCTGGCCCAGCTTCTCGGGAGGAGGTTTCTTAATCAGATACTCGACTGTAGATGGGGAAACCAAAAAGTACCGATATCGCTACTCCCTAGACCTCTCCCGGGGTGCGCTCTGACCAGAATTTCGAGGCGAATCCAGCGGTGGCGACGAGGGCCTTCGAGGAGGCCTAGAAAAGGCGAGAACGAGGGAAGGGTAGCGGTACGGGTACCTTTTTCCGACTCCCACGTGCCTACACGAAACCACACCTCAATCTGCAAAAGTCTGTCCTGCCTGGGCGCAGTGACATTTTGCCCCCCTACCCATAGCCCTTGAGGCTCACCACAACCACTGCGACGACCGCGACCACGACGAAGACAGACGACGACGACGACGACGACGACGACGACGACGACGACGACGACGACGACGACAACGCCGACGCAGACGATGTTGACGTTGACGTTGACGTTGACGTTGGCGACGAAGACGACGACGAAGACGACGATGACGGCGGCGACGACGACGACGATGACGACCACGACGACCACGACAACCACGACAATCACGACGACCACGACCACCGTGACGGCCACGACCGCGACGGCGCCGTCGACGTCCACAGCGACGTCGACCACCCCGACGACGGCCGCGACGACGACTGTTGCCATCGGCGGCCCCGCCGCGCCTGCAGCCTGGCCCGGGCGGCCTGGTCGTCGATGGTCGACTGCCGCCGCGCCTCCTCCACGGCCGCGGCGGACGTGGCCGAGGCCTCTCGCTAAGGCAGGCGGGCTTCGGGGGGCGGGAAGGCCTCCACGCACCCTCCTCCGCCTCCACGTCCTCCTCCTCCTCCTGCTCCCCCTCTTCCTCCTCATCCTCCTCTTCCTCGTCTTCCACTTCCTCTCGCTTCTGGCCCCCCGTCGGGCGTGTGCCGACAGAGGGACAGGGGAGGCAGGAAGAGGGGGGATTATCGTACGATGGCCCCAAGTACGTGCGCTCACGAGGGGGGCAAAGAAACGTGTTGAAAGAAGAAAAAGAAGGGGCCATGGAATTGGGAAGATTGCATGGCTCCGGCCATGATCCCCCCCCCAATTCTCACTTCCTCTTCGACGCCCCCGACCCCTCACCTCGATCCTCGACTCCGAGGCCGGGATTTTGCTCTGTGTCCAGCTTTTAGGAATCGACCTGCTGGGGAGGAGGGAAGAAGGGGGAGGGAGGAGGGGGAGCGGGGAGGAGGGAGAGGAGGACGAGGAGGAAGAGGGAGGAATGGCGGAAGGGGGAGGAGGGACGGAGGAGGGGAAGAAAAAGGGGGAGGCGGTGGAGGGGAGCACGCAGGAAGAAGGAGGGGGCATGGGAGAGGGGGGTGCAAGCCATGCGAGCGTGCGCCACGTCTGACATCCTCCTCTCCTCCCCATGCAGACCCCTTCCGATTGTGATGCTTTTCCACATCCGCCGACGCGTGCCACAGCGGACCTAAGACTCAAACAAAGACAAGCCAACGTGTCATGCGCACTCGGAGAACAGAGAGCTGCGTTCATGAGAGGGAGGTTACCCACGAACAAGAGAACGAGCAGGAGCAGGAGCAAGAGGAGGAGGAGGAGGAGGAGGAACACCAGCAGCAGGAACAGGAGTGGGAGAAGCAGGGGGAGCGGGCTGCCCAGGGGAAGGCGGGGGAGGGGAAAGGAGAGGGGGGACAACGATGAGGAAACACTCGGACCCAGAAGAGTGGCCCGCGCTGGAACGACAGAACAACACAGAGCAAAGTGCCGATCCTAAAATGAGGCCTGCGCTGCAGCGGGAGCACCAGTTTGACACGCGGGAAAAGCTTTGCCCTGATCGAACCAACAAACCCGGTAATATCAACTGTTGGCATCCCTTGTCAAAACATGCGCGAAGTGGGGCGGGCGACAACCTGGCCATCTTCGGGAGAGAGAGGAAAGTAGTCTTCATGTTTAAAAAGTTCAGGAGGTGAGGAAAGAGGAGAACAGGAGGAGGAGGTGAGGAAGGAGGACAAGGATGAGGGAGGAAGAAGGTGGTGGAGGAGGAGGCGGGGGAAGGAGGAGGATGGAGGAGGGAGGAGGAAGAGGAGAAGCTCTGGAGGTGAGGAAGGACGAGGAAGAGGAGGATAGACCTAGACGTCCGGCCTGTCTGTCTTGAGTCCGCGTCGCGCATCTTATGATAGCCCCGGGCCCCACAGCGGCCCCCCGGGAGAAGCGAGAGCAGACATCTGGTCGCCTCGCCTTGCTGCTGGCGACACCCTGAAGTCTGGGCCCCCTCTCTCACGAGCACCCCCGATTCCTCCGCAGGCAGGCTCGAACATCCGACGCGAAGATACATCCACAGACACCCTCCCACGAACTCTGCATGTACCTTTACGCAGGGTGGCGGAGTGCAAAGTCGCTGGCTCCCGATGGTGATTTGCACAAGGCCTCCCTCCCCTGAGGCCGAGGAGCAGTCCATTGCAGGCTGTCTGTGCACATCGTGTTGCGGCGGAGAGAACAGGCTCGAACCGCGAAACCAGATCGGATCGGAAACGGTTCGCATCGCAAGCGAATCGTCCCGCATCGGATCGGAATCGGATCGTCGCGCCCCGGGGCTCCAGCTGTCCCGGGCCGATGCGGGCGACTCGAGCCGGATCGGATCGAATCGGAATCGTGGCCCCGGCTGGCGAACCGAATCGCATCGAATCGGATCGTGGGCGGTCCTGTCTGGGTCCCGCACCTTGCGGCCAGCCCCCATCCCTCACCAGGGGTGCCTTCTGGCCAGATTCTCAGGCGGAGCCCCTCCGTGGTCGAGAGGGTGCTCTGCAGGACCGACAAAAGGCCACACAGCGCCCAAGAAGAAAAGGAAATGAGGAGGCGTATTACCAATGATGGTGAGAAAACGCCCATCACGATATGCTTCGACAAGGCCATGCCCAGGGTCACCCATTTCAACCATTTCAATGTTGCCCCTGCGGCCGCTGTCGAAACGCCACAACCCAACCACCAAGGCCCTTGGAACACATGGATTCAATGTAATATTGAAATTGGTGGACAAGGGGATTCTGAACACATGTGCGTGGACATGTAGGGAAGACACATACGAAAAGGAATTGATGCTTTTATCAGGCAGCGTTGAGGACAGCTTCATGAACCATTCACTCCGAATCACACGAGCGCCTTGCTGTAAGAAATCGTCAGGCACAGTCTTCGGCGACCCTTGAGGATCCTAAGATGCCACTGGGAGATAAGCAACGTCCCCCACTGGAGGTCTTGGTTCATAATTTGATGCACCTGCCAGGCGCTGTTTACAATCGGAACGTGGCCACGAGAGCGCGGGTCGAGAACAGGAGTCCCTTCGCTTTAGAGGCTCAAAGCGCCATGGCAATGCCCCAAACGCCAAGCATTCCAGGGTGGAGGGCCCAAGCAAGAAGAACAGATGAGTACCCGTCCAAATCTTGGGCTGTTCCTGACCCTCGTGCCAGCTGTGCTACGCCATCCGATGCTCGGCTTTGCGGAGTTCGGGGGCCTTGAAGCCCTGACCCTGAGCAGTCGTTTCGCCCCGAGTCCTTCCTCTGACAGCCCGAATGCGCCCAGTGAGGGCCCCACGGGCTGAAAACCATGAGAACCTGCACGGGGGCAAATCGGGGTGAGGATAGATCGGGAACCTCTTAGATCCGGCGGCTCTGGAGGATGTATCGGGCGCCGCGGCCTTCTCAGAGCGTTCGGGAACGCTCTGGGAGCGTTCTGAAGGCTCTGGAACGGACTTCTCCTCGTCCTAGCCCCGCCCGGTGATTTTGCAAGACGGCTGAGGTCTGGGTCGCAAGGTCAAGGCTCGACTGCCAGACCTTCCTGTGGGGTGCACTCTGGCCTGGACTCCGGAGGGGATCCAGCCACGGCGGCGAAAAGCCTGGCGGAGGCCCTGGATCGACGGCCCCCAGAAGCTCGATCCTCGACCCTCGCACACACGATCCTGCAGAGGGGCGGGAGGAGACCGCGGCCTCCTGCATGCTGGCGCGAATACGATTGGCCTCGTCTTCGACCGACTCCCTCCTCGGAGGGCCAGGGCCGTCCAAACGTGGAGTTGCTGCTGCCTCACCTCCTCCTCCTCCTCCTCCTCCTCCTCCTCCTCCTCCTCCTCCTCCTCCTCCTCCTCCTCCTCCTCCTCCTCCTCCTCGTACCCCTCATCCTCTTCTATTGTTTGATATGTTCTTGTCATGGCTTATCTTCCCTTCTCATACGTTGTATTACACCCTCCTGTCATATCACCTACTATCTTATAGTAACCATTCGTCTCTTCTCTTCTCTTCTCTTCGCTTCTGTTCTCTGCTATTCCTCCTCTTTCTCTTCCGCTCGTCTTCCTTATAACTGACTCCTCCCTGTCGCAACCTGAGGCGTGTCGGTAGGGCGGGCCGGGCGTTTCGCCAGAGATTCCCTCAGTTTCGCATGCTGCAGTGGCCAAAATACCGGGGAATAGTGATGTGAGATGACCGCTTCCATATCCCACAACTCTCCCTTTGTGCACACTTCTACGCTCTTTGGCAGAGGTAGACGCCGATTGCCCACCATCGTCTCTCCTGCGGCTGTAGGCGAGGATGATGTCAATGTCTCTCCTTTAGAACCGGATGTTGCGTCTGGCACAAGATGTGGTTCGCCGACCTCCGTAGGTGATTATTCTGGCGCCGTGGTTTCGAGGAGTCGGTCGCTTCGGCGTGGGAGGCTCAGGTCCTTCGCGGGCAGGTCGTGTTGCCTACCAGCCTCCGACACAATGCGAATATTATTTCAGATTGCTTGTGGTAGGCCGTAGCTAGATAAGCCATAGCTTCATCGGAGGTCGTCTGCTTCATGAAGAGCTGGGAAATCCTTCGGCACATGTTCACTGGGCAACTAGCCGACATATCCACTCGGGTACCTCCTTCCAGCGGCACTTGTAAGTGCAAGTTGGGGCAAATGCGCTCTACCTTAGTGTGGAGCTGCTCGACCGTGGTCGCGATGCACCACTCCTTCCGAATCAATGCGCCGCTCGGCTCGTCCCTCATGTCATACACGCAGCCGTGAATGGCACACCCGTGCAACTGAGCCTCGAGAACCTTCAAGTTGCCCGACCAAAAGCGACTCCTCTCATATTGCTCAAGGTATACGTTGCAGCACCCTTCGTCCAAGAACTGGCTGATGCCCCGCCTGACGTTCCGCTGGATACCCCGCGTCTTGAGTAGCTTCTTCTCGGACTCCTCGGCGAACGGGTTCAAGTTCTGCCGGGGGCGCTCGGGGACCAGACCTTGCGAGGCCACTTCTCACGTGGGATACGGAAGAGCTGAGAATTTCTCAGCTCCGCTGCGAACGGACAAATCGAAAACGTTCCAGTTGCTGAAGCACTCCGCCTGGCCACCAGCGTTCAGCATAGCGTTCGTGGGCCTGGAGTCCGATGCATGAGCAACCTCCGCAAAACCAAGCCGTCCAAACGTCTCGGCTGCCTCCCAGGCAGCACCGGGCATCTCGCCCAAGGCCGCCGTTGCTGCCAGCAGAAATCCGTGAATTCACTTCTTCGCGCCTTGTGCCAGTCTCCAGTTGGGGCTGGCGTCGCGGACCTCGGCATTCCTGACGGCGTCGGAAGATCCCGCGCTGCGGCCGCCGCTGCCGCCGGCTGAGCGGGGCCGTTGCCCCGCCTCTTGCTGGCCCTGGTCTGGTCGCCCATCTTGGAGGGCAGGGCCCCAGACTCGCTAGTCGGGGTCTCGACGAGAACCTTCTGCGCGATCTCTTTGGCCAGCTTGATCTGCTCCTCCTGGCGGATCTTGATCCGCTCGCTCACGATGGCCGTCCCCAGCTGCTCCTGGCGGGTACTGACGCACTCGGACTGATGATCTGCCCCACCTCTGCGTCGGTGAGCTGCCTGACCGCTGTGGCCGCCAGGGCCTGGGGCGGGCTCTCGCTGGCCCCGCTCGCGTCGTCCGCGGGCTCGCGCGTTGAGTTCTCCGAACTTGAGTTTGGGCTTGCCGACGGCGCCGGCAAGAGCCTCGCCCAACCTGTTCTCGAGCCCATTGGAATTCACCCGGGAGCGATGGCGCTGTCCGATCTGTTCGTTCTTGACCCTCTCGCACAGGTACTTGAAGATGACTTCGCCGCGGTCTCTGCGCTTGATCTGCTCCATGGAGGCTCTCGACCCCTGGCGAGTCTGGTTGAGATGCCGGAACTGTCGCACCATGAACTGCCCCGACCAGGTCGTCGATCTCCTGGCTCACCAATGGTTTGAGTCAAGACGGTTCTCGGATACTGACGAAGGGTTTATCTGTGCCTATACCCATCTCGCCTTGGCAAAAGCTCAAGAGAAATCTACTGAGCGCCCCGCAAAGTACCCCAGCCGCGGAAATGCAACGCCCTCACCGCGCCCATCACCACCCCGCCACTGCGGGCTGCAAAGGCGCCCCCAGGCAATCGCGGATGTGAGCGACGTCGGAAACTTGCCAAGAGAAATTCGGCACGGGCAGTGGTGGGCATAGACGTTTTGCGAAACGTGCTCACAAACATCTATACCTACATACGTTTTCTCTTGGTTTCCCCGCAACAGGGCGGGACATCTGCTGCGACCACGTGCGTCCAATAGAGAAAATACCATCAAATCATGAGGCTTGCGGCGCGCACTCTCTCGCAACGCCGCCGCCTACGCGATGCGCAGCTGTGGCGAAAATTTTGAAAGAAAACGGGTATGTGTATAGGTGTAAGGTTCGCCAGATACGTTGAAGTCCATGAGCGGCGAGACTGTTCGACTTGTCTGGTAATATATTCGACTCTGAATCCGATCGGCGATGACGAGATGTTCCCCGTCTTCTCGAAAAGGGCAAGACGTTCCCCTGGTAGGGGAGTTACGTTCGACCCTGAAAAATGACGAGGGTCACAGCGCTGTTAATCAACCCGACGATGTATTCGGCATAACGCGTGGGGGCATTACCTCCGCGCGCCCTTACTAACCTGGACGCCTTCCTCCCACTTGGCCCGATCCCAGAGGTATTCAAGAACAGGAGACATTTTCGCATCGCTAAATTGAGGATGGGGTGCCTGAATCAAGATACTGGATGTAAAGAGCTTCTGGAATACCTTGGGGCGGCTCTCGTCGTGCGGAGGGGCCCCAGTCGCGACGGCTGCGAGCGACGGCTCTTCCAATCCTTCTGCCACGACCAGGGTGCTCTCCCCATTCGCTGTCCTTGCTCAAGGTCCTTGGCCCTGGGGAATCAGGCAGAGAGAATGCCCAAGCGGCAGCGCCCGGGCGGGAATCTCGCGCTGGAGACGACGAGAGTCGACAGTATTCTCCTCATAATCGATTCCGCGTCCGAAGTACTTCAACATATCATCCCTCAACAACAGTCGAGACGGACGATCAAGCACGTACATGTTCACCTGTTCACTGGTCAGGTCCTTGACCTGGAACGTCACCCTCGAAGAAACATCGGCGCGATCTCCACCCGCAAACGTGAATCCCAGGCTCAGACTGGGACCTTCACCGGGTCGGTGTTGGTGTATTCTACGAGAGGCTCAACCGTCCAGCAACGCGTATCCCTTGCACTCGTTCGTGCTGAAGGCCGCGAAATCGTCGTTATCTGACTCGATCGGGTGCTGCTCCGTCTCCTTCTAAACATCGGTGCCGGCCGCATGATCGGATGCGTCAATGAAACTGTTGAAGGCACGCTTCCTCGCGGCCCGGCTACCTGTTTGCCCCGATTGGGACAGTCCTGCGCTCGATGGCCCGGCTCGCCGCAAAGCAGGCACGCGTCCTTCTTCCCACTGGAGCTTGCCGGTGGGGTTCGTGAGGGCGTGTGCGCCATACCTCGACCTTTGCCTCGGCCGGGACCTCCGCGATATTTGCCACGATCCTTGCACTTGCCCTTCCGCGGTGGACCTCCGCGGCTCCCAGCGCGACCGCGTCCACCGCTGACTCCAGGCTGCGAGGGTAGAACATCGTAGGTTCACAGTCCGACCGCTGGGAAGTAGTCTGTAGCATTCTTCACCTCATTGATCCGCTTCCGGGCCTCCACGAACGTCCGTGAAGCCGCGTATGCCGTCTCGGTCCACTCGTCGTTCACGTTTTCTGAGGGAGCTATGGCCGCCGCCAAAGCTTCACCCGTCTGCACGACTTCGTCCTGGTGCTCGTCGCCGAACGCAGCCGTCCTCACGTCCTCCGCAGCCACCGGGGCGGTCTCCGTTAGGTCGGCCGCTTTGCCGAACCCGTCGTGGTACGCCTCGTCGTAGATCACCTCTGCGTGCGCTGCGAACTCCTCGGCATGATCGGGGTCCTCGGAGATGGCGTGGTCACCTTTCCTGGCCTTGTATCCTTTCTGCTTGTCGCGGGCTGCCAGCTGGTCCTCTTACCACTGCTCCGGCAGCGCCTTCGTCACGTTCGCGTAGAAATACGAGTTCCCTTTGAACCCTGGTGTCGCGAGCACCGCCGCTTGCTCCGAGGGATCCAGACAAAAGCTATCCAACAGTATGAGTCCCAGGATAAGCTCGTGCATGCAACCTTCCGCTGGAATGTCCTCGCACACCGCATGAAAGGCCTTCCCCACGATGTTCATCGTAATACCAAAACTCGAGACCCATTTCTTGGTTCCTTCACCTAAATGTCAGTACACACCTCGCATACACTCTCTCCACTTAGATACAGCTTCCTGCATGGTGACCGTGCCTCGTATCCCAATCAGTGCAGCGACGACTCTTTCAGCTCCATTTTTCTTCACCAAGTCCTCAAAACTGACCTTCTTGGCCTCCTGCCATTGCCTCAGTGTCGTCGTCTATTGCTCATTGTCGTCGTCCATCGTCCGTCGCTCGAAGGTAGTCACGATCTTCGTTTTTGGTACCAAAGACCCACAACTTCACCTTGTCCTCGAAACTCTCCAAGGTAGAGGCATCTCCATTCCATATGGGTATTTGAACTCCGGCTGACTGTTCAGACGCTTTACTGTTTGTGCGATTTGAAAATGATGTCCAATTACCGAAGTGGGCTGCCACTTCTCGCGACCAATGTCAATGGAGCGTGCTAGTCCACGGATAGCAGCCTGCGACTTCGGGAAACCACAATACGTGTGTAGAGTATCCAGTGTTCCAGATCTTGGTCGTGGCGGGGATTTGGAGCTCGTCAGAGCGTAAGATGCCAAGCAAGCAACAACGTATAATAGGGATACAGATCCTTCGCAGTCAACTCAAAACTCCAGAAGTACAGACAGCTGCAGAAACGAGAAACGCAAAGGCACGTGCAGGCCATTGTCTTATAGGGTCAGGGAGGGACGACCAGAACAAACACGCCAGAAACGATGTCACACCATGATATCCACAGGAGGCGGGGGGAAGGAAGGGAAATGGGGGGGGGAGGTGGGGAGGGAAGGAGGGAGGGGAGTGGGTGGGGGAGGGAGGGGGGGGAATCCTCGCCAGCAGGGCGGGCAATTCGACCTCGGCGAGCTGCGAGATCTCCTTCTGCATCACCTCCCGCCGGGCCCACACCGCCGACCGCGCCCCACCCATGGCCGAGGCTCCGACCATGGCACAGCCAGGGGGGCCTGCCCTGTCCAAAAGCCCCCCTGACGTCGTGAAGGACAAAGCACGACGGAAGTTTCGCTCCTACTTTCGGGCTCTGGGACTCTGGTTGTTCTTCCCACGCCTCCTCCTGCCTGTTCTCTTTTTCCTGGCGTTATCTGCACGCTCCCGGCGTGCGGACTTTCTGTTTCTGACGGTGCTGAAAAACGCACCCTTTTTTGCCCACGCGTCCTATAGGATGCAATGCTTACTTGACTTGACTTGACTCTGGGCCGCGACGCCACGACGTCGGATGTCTTGGAGCCATATGCCGCGGCTGGGGGCCTTGCCGTGTGGCATATAGGGGGAGCCCATCGCATCGACAGTCCTGGACTCCCCCTGCTGGGCCTCGGCCAGCCTCGATCCTTGATCCTCGATCCCCGATCCCAGACCCTCGATCCCCGATCCTCAATCATCGATCCCCGATCTTGGAATAGCAAAGAAAAAAATGTATAAGCATAAACTGTCCGGGGTCCGCGCGGATTTCTCGGGTCGCCGCCGAATCCCTCCCACACCCCGCTCTGGCGCGCTAAGCGCACCGCGCTGGATGAAGGGGGTCCCAGTGCCGACGCGAGAAATCCGCGAGGACCTCCGGAAGGTTACGATTATTGTACGATTCAGGTGTGGTTCCTCTGGGTTATCCCAGAAGAAGTGTCGAAGCCGATGGGCCTCTCAGGAAGGTGAGGACCACAGGCCCCCCTCCTGTGGTGTGGTTGGTCTGACACTAGTCGAGCCCGTCCTGGGCCCAGGAAGGCTGGGAGCATCACACAAACAACACACACACAACACACACACACACACGCTCGCACGCTCGCACGCACGCACGCACGCACGCACACGCACGCACACGCACGCACGCACGCACGCACGCACTCACGAACTCCCGCACGCACACACACAGACGCTTTGTGGCGTCGCGGCCCTGCGCGCGGCGACAGGGCGTACGGCGTACAAGGTTGGAAAACAGTGGGGCGCGCGCGCCTATGCCTGGCCAAGCACTCAGTGACCACATCGGGCAACGCGGCACCCTGCAGTGACAAAGGGGACGGTGGGAGGACGAGACGCACCACGCGGCCCCCCGCCCCGCACACGCACTCGCACCTTCATGGCCACGAGTGCGCTTGCGCCGATCCTGGGCCTGCTGCACCGAGAGCGTGGAGAAGAAGCGAGGGCGTCGGACAACATCGGAGCGACGCAAGCAAACGGGTCTTACGCAAGATGGCACGGCAACCTTACGCGGTGGCTTACGGGGGCCGCCAGCGCGGCACACGCCACATTGGCAGCGAGGGCGCTCACGCGCGACCTTACACGAGCAGCTTACGCGCCAATGTTGGCGCTGTCGACCCCGTTGTCATGCGTCGCTGATCTGGTGTTGTCCCAAGCTCCAACGACATTCGGTAGAGTCCTCCGAGATCCCGCGAGGACCCCCCGGTAACTTTCGACAGCCTCCCACCAAGGGATCCTCTCAGCGTCTTCTGGACACCGCCCCGGAACAAGCCCCGACCAAAGCCTCGGGACGTCCGTGGCGACGAGGCCTCCCCGGCAGGGCCCCGGGCGACGAGGCCTCCCCCGGAGGCTCTGAGGGCTCTCCAGAACGCTCTGGAGCGATTCGTCTTCATCCCAGGCCTGCCCGATCGTCGCACCCAGATCTCCGAGGTCACGATTTTGGAACCCTGGTGGCCTGGTCCCTTTTCTCCAGAACCATTTCTGATCCCGGATAGTTTTCTGACTGCCACGAAATTAAATGAAGGCCTACCGAAGCCGGACACTTCCAGACACCTTCCGTCGTTACACATCCGCAAAATCTCCCGTCGTTATGTATCCGCCGTGATCTATCCGAACAAACATACGATTCCCACTTCGGGAAAGGAAGTCAGCCAACAGGGGGAGGGGGCCCGCGCGCGACACTCTTCGCGCAGCCCGCAGATGCTCCCACCGCAGTCGCTTGGCAGCGCGCCAAAGAGAAAACTGCTAATGGACAGAACTATATGCAAAAAACCGCTTCAGAGAGATGATTCAGGAAGATCCCTGGGTCGCGGCATAGCGTGTCGCGTCGGCGGCCCCGGCGACACGCTTTGCCCTGCGAGCGGAGAGCGTGTCGCTCCGCGGCGCGGGGCGGGAGGCTTGGAAAGGCTCGGGGACATTGTGCTGGGGCACTGGGAAATGGATAGCGCGTCACGTCGAAGCGTGGAAGGCCAGAGCCGGCGAAGGGACACGCCAAGCCAAAGTTCCTGGCCGTATGCCTGCGCCCTCTTTCTTTCGGTGGCAACTCTTGGGAGCCTCCCGTGCCATCTTGTTGGCTCTTGCAAATCAACGCTCATCAACGCCGATCGACGCTCAAACTATACTGATCGACGCTGGTTGGCGCTAATCGACGCCAAGTCGGCGCTATCCCATCGATCACCCAACGCTAATCGACCCTGTCTCGCTCTAAAGACGCACTTGTGATGGTGTACAAGGCTCCCATGATTTGCTACAGAATTTCTCCTTCGAGGCATGAGCATGGGGGTAGGCTATGGGGCAGTTCGGGGGGTTGCTCAGTGTGCCCCTGGCCCACAAGGTGCCCTCAGCTTTTCGTTTAATTTCGGAGCCGCTGGAGCCCTCTGAGCCTCGGAAGGGGTGCCCCTCGGAACTCCTGGGGGCCTCCTCGGACATCCTGGGGAGACCTTGGGCCTGCTTGGGAAATCCTCGGAACTCGTGGGGGGCCACCTCGGAGATGCCGGATACGCCCCCTGAGACCCTTCAGCTCAGCGATCTTGCCCCTAAGCGTCTCCCCGGCGACTGAGGAGGCGAGGAGAGTTCTAGACTGGTGGATGTCGGCAATATATTGGAGGTCGTGGAGGCCCCCTCGGACATCCTGGGGGCGCCCTGGGCCAGGGGCACTCCTTACCAGCCTCGAACTTATCCCTATCCCTAAGATTGACACGCCAACAGGCGATGACAATCTTAGGGATGCGCCCCGCAAAAATACGAGAATCCCCAAGATTGGCATCGTGAGGAGAGGCCCAGCATAGGGATAGGGAGATGTTCCAGGCGGAGGAGGAGGAGGAGGAGGAGGAGGAGGAGGAAGAGGAGGAGGAGGAGGAGGAGGAGGAGGAGGAAGAGGAGGAGGAGGAGGAGGAGGAGGAGGCCGACTGGGGGCGCCCTGGCACTCCTGGCAGGGCCTCACCCCGGGCCGCCCGCCCCCCTCTGCCCCCGCCTCGATCTCTCCGGAGAGCTCCTCCTGCTCCCGCGTCGCGCGCGCCTCGGCGGGGCGCGCGCCCGCACGGGGAGGCGGCCGACCCGACTGGGCGGAGGGGGAGAGGGCCCTCCCTTCGCTCGGCGGCGCGCTCGGGGGAGGGGGGGGGAGAGGAGACACATGGGGCCTCCCTCGTCACTCGAGGTGCCCCCATACCGCTAGATACTCCCCCTCTCGTTTTCCCCTCCCTGGGCCCTGGTCGCCGCCGCTGGACCCGCCTCGCCATTCTGGGCAGAACGCACCCCGGGAGAGGTCCCGGGAGGAGCGGCATCGGGGCACCCTGTCATCGGCGGCGAGCCCGCGGGGCAAGTGAGAAGCGGCGGAGCTCCCTGAGCCTTCCCCTGAGACAATGAAGACTCCTCAGAAGGCGCGAGGGGCTTCTGAGAGGTCCCGCCGCCTTCTGAGACGGCATTCTCCCTCTGGCTTCCCACCCCCGCCTCGCCGCCGACTCTCGGAAGGGGGGCCAGATCTCCAGCGACCTGTTTTGGCGAGTCCTCGATCGCTCCCTCTGGGGGCCGCTATCGCGCCCGCAGGCCATCAACATATGATCCTGGGCGCAACGCTACCCCCGGGGGAGAGGTCTGGACCTCTGGGGCCGCTGACCAGAACATTCCAATCGGAGAATATCCGGAGATGCGCCAGAGGCGCCGACTGCAGGCAGGCTCGTGCCGTGCCGACGTCGGCGTTGATCTCTAAAGGGTCGCTCAACCTGCCACAATCGCGGCTCTGTGCCAGCGCGGATCTTTGGATGTCGACCGGTCCTGGGCCACCAGCGGCGTTCGACCGCGAGAGCCTGCGCACGGGTCGACGCCGCGTCGACGCGCCGCGAACCCGCAGCAAACGAGCTCGGCAAGGCGGGATTCTGAAAGGCTGGCCTCTGGTGTCGTAATTTCACCCCGAGTCCTTGACGGTCCCGAAGCCGACAACAATGACACAGACGCCGTGCTGTTTTTTTTTTACCTAACAGCTTTTGCTGATAGGTTTCTAGTGGTCTCAAAAGAGAGCAGCAGATGACTCCACAGGGGGGTCGGGGCGGGACCCGGACAGGCTGCCGCCGCGGCTGCCGCCGAAGCCGAAATCGCTTAGGACATCCTCGTAAAATCGTTTTTGGTGCTCCCAGAACTCCATTCCCGGGACACATTTTGGATGCCCGGAGCCAACTGTAGGCCACTTCGTGCTCTTCGACTTCCCAGAACTCCATTCCCGGGCCACATTTTGGATGCCCGGAGCCAACTGTAGGCCACTTCGTGCTCTTCGATTTCCCAGAACTCCATTCCCGGGCCACATTTTGGATGCCCGGAGCCAACTGTAGGCCACTTCGTGCTCTTCAAGTTCCCAGAACTCCATTCCTGGGCATGATTTTGAATGCCCGGAGCCAACTGTAGGCCACTTCGTGTTCTTCTAGTTCCCAGAACTCCATTCCTGGGCCACATTTTGAATGCTGAGGCAGGCTGATGCTGCGGCCGAGGCAGGCTGAGGCTGAGGCAGGCTGAGGCTGAGGCCGAGGCTGAAGGCAGACTGAGGCTGAGGCTGAAGCAGGCTGAGGCTGAGGCTGAGGCAGGCTGAGGCTGAGGCTGAGGCAGGCTGATGCTGAGGCAGGCTGAGGCTGAGGCTGAGGCTGATGCAGGCTGAGGCTGAGGCAGGCTGAGGCTGAGGCCGAGGCTGAAGGCAGACTGAGGCTGAGGCTGAAGCAGGCTGAGGCTGAGGCTGAGGCAGGCTGAGGCTGAGGCAGGCTGAGGCTGAGGCTGAGGCAGGCTGAGGCTGAGGCTGTGACTGCGACTGCCGTTGCCGCTGCGACTGTCATCGCGAATGCGACTACGACTGCGAGAACAGCAGAATTCTACAACTGGATTTTCATCTGAATCTTAAGGGGAATGCTTTCAGATATGCTTCTACATATCGCTGTTAGGTTGCTTTGCCGGGATAATTGTTCATGACATTGGATGGGGCGACTCAACTCGCGTACAATCGGAACAACAATTCGAAAGATGGGCAACCTTCCCAAATGCACCTGTGCATCCGTGCCTCTTCGGTCCATCCTTGAATACTTTCGATGACCTCCAGCGCTCGAACAAATTTCTACACGGGCGCCAAAGGGGCAACGCATCGTGATCGCGCATCTCTACTGCCAGTTGTTCGACTGCAGCTGGTCCTCCTCGCGCCCCCCCGCGCCAGGAGGCGCCCAACGTGCCCATCGCGGAAGGGCGCGGGGCGCCGAGGCCAGATCTGGCAGCACGCCGCAGAGCGTTCGCCCCCCCCCCCTCCCATTGCCCTATAGCTCCCCCTCTCGTCCGACCCGATCCCGGGAACCGAAGGAAACGTCGGCAACAAAACAGATTCCGAAACCCAGCCGGCGTCCGGAGGGGCGAGCTCCGAGGCGCGCATGAGTCCGCCAGGGGGCGGGGCCTGAAAGGCCGGCGCGGGCGGGCTGGGGCCCTCAGTTGCAGATGTGAGACTTGCGGTCAGTGCTGCGTGTGGCGTGGGAATGTTTGTTCAAGATTGTTCCATTGAGCGCTGTCTTGTGCTATCGTAAACCATCGTCCGCTGCCAGGTTGGAGAAGCATGTTCGCTGTCAGAAAATGTGTAATATCGTCTTCCCAACGTTTCCTCTGACCCCCATGTCTGCGGACTGCTTGCCGGTGGTCGTGGATGTCCGGCTCCCACGTCGCAGCAAGTCGGGCCCATCTGTTGTACGATTGATTTGCGACTCGTCCTGCCCACCGCCATTTTCGACGAAAGTACACCGTCGCCCACTCATCTACGCGTGCCCTTTGTGCAAGATCTGCTGCTGTGTGCGTAGCTCTGCGGATAACGTCTTCACAGGGTTCGAGGTCGGAGTCGTCGTCACCACCCTCGGTTTGCAATTCGTTGTCGTCGTCGTTGTCGTCCAAGCTCGTCTTGGCTTCGCTTCCATCGTCTACGTGCGTCCCTGCTTCGGTGCTGTCAATGTTGTCGATAGCGGTGCTATTACGGACGGAGGGGGAGGGGGAGGGGGAGGGGGCGAGAGGCGGGGGAGGGGGGGGAAGGAGACGGAGGGGGAGGAGAGGGCCCAGGAAGGGGAAGGAGAGGGGGGGTGAGGATGGGGAGGCGAGAGACGGATAGAGAGAGGAGTCAGGACGAAGAGGACGAGGAAGAGCAGGAGGAGGAGGAGGAGGAAGAAGAGAGGAGGAGGATGATAAGGAGGAGGCGGAGGAAAAGGAAAAGGAAGAGGACGTAGAGGACGAGGAGGAGGAGGTGGACGAGGAGGCGAAGCACGAGGAGAAAACCATAATAATGCCCGAAAACCTGACCGACGTCTGCAGGGGGAGGAGGGGGAAGGAGGAGGAGGAGGAGGAGGACGACGACGAAGAGCAGAGAGACGATCAGGAGGAGGAGAAGGAGGAGTAGGATCAGGAGGAGGAACAGAGAGGAGGAGACGGTGAAGGAGGAAGAGGAGGAGGGAGGAGGAGGAGGAGGAGGAGGAGGAGGAGGAGCAGGACCTCCTAGGACCAACGACAACGCCACGAACATAAAAATCGTCAGAAGACCTGATCCGCGTTTGGTGGGTGAAAACGAGAGAACGAGACGAAAGACTTCGCAGAGGCGTGTCAGCTGGATCCTGCGGTGGCCGCGGGCATGGGGCAGACAACTACCTGCGTGCGTGGCTAACTCACCACTAGAGAGCGCTGGGCAGAAAAAATCCAAACCCGCGTGGCATCAGATGCGTTCTAGCCTCCACCCACCCCCATACATCGGTTGAAAATCCGATGCTGTGAAGGCTGGGCACGGACGCATGGGCGGGGCAACCATGTGTAACTATTTACGCGAAATTGGGCTCCAAGCAGGCCGAGGAGCCGAGGAGGAGGAACAACGGCACACACACACACACAAAACCCCCAGGGGCCCGAGGCGAGCGATAGAGGAGCGGGGACGGGTGAGGAGGCCTCGAGGTGGGGGGGACAGCCTAAACAGGCAGGAGGCGACCCTGCAGCTCAAGACGAACGGAGCAGCAATGATAAACATCCTCAATGGCGCGAAAAAACCCTTCCAAGTCGAGTGGCCCACAGGGAACCCACAGTGACCAGGCGGTCACATTCCCCTCTAGACGCCTAGGATCCCGAGGGTGCTGCCCACATGGGGTTGTACATTGTGAATTGGAGGCTGCAGGAGGAAAAGGAGGAGGACAAACAGAGACAGGCGCGAGCCTTGGCCTAGGACCCGCAGAAACTTTAGCAAAGGCTGTGTGGGCCCCTCTGGAAATACTCCGGGTTCTGGGGGGTTTCGCCGTTGCTCGCGACAACGAAAAAAAGGAGCTGGGGCACGGACTCGAGGGGGAGCGGCATTGCTCTGAGTTCCCGTGGCCTGTTTCGAAGCTGTCGAGAGCGTCGCGTGTATCGAACACGCAATGGAGGTAGTCGTGGTTCGCTTTGTTGAAGGAGTCGAATTTCCCGAGCCACTTCGATTCGCTGGCACTGTCGAAGGGGACGTGACCTCTGCCAAAATTGAGCATTCCCATTGAATAGGTCACATATCCATTCCCTGTCATCAATCGGTCTCGCTGTGAAGGTCCCGACCTGGCCGACCCATGCACAGCCGACGATGGGCCCATTTGGGGCGATCCTGATTCAGCCGCTGCTGGCGAAGCCCACGACCAGCCCTCGATGGGCCGATCCTGACCAGGCCGTTCCTGGCAAAGCCTACGATGAGCCCGCAAGGGGAGATCCGGATCTCGTCGACCCAGCAAAGCCGACGGTGAGCCCGCCTGGAGCGGCCCCGAAGGGCCAGTAGCCACCGCCGCCCGGGCCGTCTCGAGCAGCCGAAATACTGCATCCCGTTCACACGCATCTGGAGGAAGCGCGCGCTGCGGGACTTCGGGAGAACACCGTGCGCGCGCGCCCCCAGCCCCCACGACCGCGCCCTCGACGCCCACCAACTGTGCCTCGAACCATATATTGCCCGCGTCTCCTTCGCGGCTCGTCTGAAGGCGGCAGTCTCTGACCTGGTCAGCGAGAGCTCCGTTGGTGAGC